TGATGCATGTCCGTTGAGAAGAGTTTGAAAACTATCAAAGAGAATGAGGGTAAATAAAAAAAATTACAGTGCAACTAACTACCCATGAGTGACCAGTCAGCATTTTGGTGTCATCTTCCGAGGTCAATGCCTATATAAATATACTCATAGACTTGAGGCTTGGTTTTTAAAATCTGGGTTATGCCGAGCCTACTATTTTATTAGTAGCCTTTTCCACCTAATTTGTTTTGAAAGGTTTCTTATGTATTAAGTACTCTCTTCAAATATTAAAATAATTGGTCAATAAAGATGGAGAAATAACACAAAATGTTTCATTTTATGATGCAAACATCACTCAGATAGGCACGAATCTTTCCTAGGCAGCATCTCCAGACCCAACCATCCTGAGCACTGTGATCTTACCCGCAAGCCTGAAGGTAACTGAGCTGTGTCCTATGTCAGCAGCCTCAGGTCCAAGAGTAAGGCGAATCTCTCTCATGGTCTAATCATCATGGGGAGATGAAAGCACATCTCCGCAGGTGAAATTTTTTTCTCCTCTTCAGGGGTCTTCTCTCCCATGATAATGCAAAGAACGCCAAGAATAGCTTCAAGTAGGTGATCTTAACTACCACTGCCTCAGGTAATGCTAAGTAGAAAGCTGTGCATTGGACAAGGATTGGCACCTGTGGTAATAAACCCAACATTTCAGCTGCTGAACCCAACACAAGCTTATTTCTCATTCACTTGGGGGTTCAAAGGTGTCTTCCTTGTTGGGGGTCAGCTGATGGGGAGCAGCTGTCTTTGGTCACCTCTCAAGATGACCTTAACATCTACATATCAGAAGGGAAATGCTCTCCAGGGAGACAGACCCTCATGGGTCCTCCCCAGCATCCTGCTGGTCAGAAGTTATGACATGTTCCCCCTCACTGCCGAGGAGGCTGGGAGCTGCAGGCAGACTGTCCTTTAGAAGGAAGAGAACAGGATTTGGTGAGCACTATTGGTCTTTGCCACCTGCTCCTCTTGGCACCAAATGCTCATTGGCAGCCTCCTTCCTACACCATAGAACACACCCTCCTGCACCCCTTCGTGGAAAGTGCCGTCTGGCTCCTGCATAAGCACACACTCCAGAGCTTTGCTCTGATGCAGTTTTCTCCCTCAGATTTGGGTGGGGCTCCTTGTGATATGGGGCACGGGGGAGGCATGAACTAAAATTAAATAATCCCACCTCCATCACCCCAAATACAGACTCAGCATATGGTGATAGATCAGGGTCATGTCAGTCACCATGAAAGCTCCCATTTGGAAATGGGCAGGATGACAGACACCTACCAGTTACAGATTCACAGCCATGATGACCTGCAGGGGACAAGACACCTGCCGTGGTGGAGGAGGAAGCTGCCTGGGGAGCCCCGGGCCTGCCAGCTTGGAGGAGCTACCTTGCCCCTTGTTCTCCACCTGCAGAGGGCACAGGGGTGTGCGCCTCCTTCAGAGCTTGCAGCAGTGACTGCTTTTTCACTCCTGGCTAGCCAAGGGTTGTTTTGAAAGAACAAGGCTCTTTTCAGGTGAGGGTCTTAGTGTCTTTGAATACATAATTTCCTCAGAAACCATAGCAGACCTGTGGTCTAGTTCTTGCTCAAGACTCAATTCTCAAGATTCTTCATGCTTCCTGTGTCCATGTCATCTCCAACCCTGCCCCCTGCCTAACAGGGGTTACCTTGATACTCTGAAATATGAAGTAGCAGCTGAATCTTCAGAGCAGGGTTGAGTCCCTGTGTTCAGTTATGGAATCTCAGGGCCTTTGTCTCTCCAAATCCTTCCCCATCTTATTTTCTGCTGTTGGGGTCCAGAGGCAGCTGGCTTTTCAATTGATATCTTCCTTTTGTTGTCATCAAGGCTTTATTGGCCTTCACCCTCAGTGTTCAAATTCCCTTGACTATAGTGTCTTCTTCATTCTTACGTCATGTAGACCAGCGCACTTGGATGGGATGTCTTTCTACAATTTTCATTTATTTAGCCAAAATACTTGAAGCAACCACCCTGTGCCAAGTACTGGACGCAAAGATAAACGCAATGCAGTAGCTGATTCTGGGAGGCCTAGGAACACACGGTTGTCCTAAAAGAGCTGAGTGAGAGCCCAGGCAAGGGGACACAGGGAAGGTCAGGGAAGGCTTCCTGGAGGATACGATGTTGAGTTAAGTTGAAGACTGAGTCAAGGTTTTCCAGAGGTTCACAGAGGCAAAGGATTTTTCATACTAAATGAACAGTGAGTACAAAGAGCATGCACGTGTGCTCAGTCGCCCCAGGCATGTCCAGCTCTTTGCAACCCCATGGACTGTAACCCTCCAGGCTCCTCTGTCCATGGGATTTTCCAGGCAAGAATACTGGAGTGGGTTGCCATGCCCTCCTCCAGGGCATCTTCCTAACCCAGGGATCAAACCTGCGTCTCCTGTGTCTCTCGCATTGCAGGCAGATTCTTTACCATTGAGCCATCTGGGAAGCCCCATGTACAAGGTAACTTCAGCTTATTACAGACAGCTTTTCTCTCTCTAGGCAATTGCTTAAAGCTCAGATTTGAAGTACTGAGTGTCTATAAATTATCCTTTGACAGGCAGGCTACTGGAATTCAGACTGCACACATGCTCAATCACATCCAACTCTTTGCAACTTCATGGACTGTAGCTCACTAGGCTCCTCTGTCCATGGGGTTCTCCAGGCAAGAATACTGGAGTAGGTTGTCATTTCCTTCTCTGGGACATCTTCCTGACCCAGGGATCCAGCCTGTGTCTCCAGCACTGGCAGGTGGATTCTTTACCACTGAGCCACCAGGGAAGATTGGTCGTGTCTAATACTGTGGAAACTTTCTTGACCCATGCTCTTTCAGGAAGGCATCATCAGTTCCGTTCAGCTCGGTCACTCAGTCGTGTCTGACTCTTTGCGATCCCATGGACTGCAGCACGTCAGGCCTCCCTGTCTATCACCAACTCCCGAAGTTTACTGAAACTCCTGTTCATTGAGTCGGTGATGCCATCCAACCACCTCATCCTCTATCGCAGGCATCATAGATTGAACTTAAAGGTTCTGGCAGGGAGCACAGACACGTATGCACCCTTGATACAGAAATGTCTTCCTCTGTCTAGGAAGGTCCACCCGCTCCATCAGGCAGGCTGTGTGAGGAGGGAAGCATGTGTTGTTGTCACCAAAGTCTTGACTCTCTGTGCACTGATGCTGAAAAGAAATACAGAAACTGAGTTTGGGAGTAAAGAGAAAGAGAAGTTTTATTCTTCGCCAGGCAAAGAGGGAGCACAGCAGGTTAATGCCTCAAGAACTGTTTCCCCATGCCTGGAGAATAGGGACAGGTCTTATAGTCAGGGCTCATAGTTCTGGGGTAGGTGATGAGGCTCAGAGTAGGGATGGCTTGCATTCTTCTTCTGCAAAATTTCAAAATGGCCACAGCTGGGATCAGGCAACTTGGTAACTGGGGCTGGTCTCTTCCAAAGTTATCTGCCTGTGGCCTTCTTTCGGAAATGAAGAATGCTATGAGGGAGTGGGGCAGAGGGGAAGAATGCCAGGTGCAGGATGGAATTCACACAGAATCAGAGAGTGATTAACAAATCAACTTTGTGAAGGACAAGTCTAGTTATGTGTGCCATAGATGAGAAACAGCTAAAGTAAAACCAGGATTTCTTCACTCTTACAGACCTATTCCTGGGGCGGGGGGTAGAGCGGGTTATAGCCATTTTCTCTTTCTTTTGTTTCGCTTGCATGCTAGCAGAAAAAAAACCCGTTTTCCATTTCTGTTGTAACACTGTGGGGACACAGAAAGCGTGCCCACACCCGTCAGCAGAACCCTGGACGTCAATGGAGAGATGGACGCTGAGACCACATCAACCTTCCACCCTGCTCCCCTCTCTGGCTCTAGCTGTCTCCACTCTTCGTGGCACAAAAGATGAGGACGTATGTGTTCTAGAACATTCTGAAAAATGCCTGCTGCCTAGGAAGTCACGTCTCATGCCGAGTTAGCCATCTCTCTCCTCCGTGGAAGACCTCGTGCCCACACCTGCGCCCCCACCTGTTGCGGCCGTGAGAAGGACCCTGCAGCTTAAGGGCCCTCTCAGTGATCCCCCCTCCTGCTGGTGTTGGCTGAGGTCTGACTCCTGAGCTTTCGCCTGTGAATGTTGCCATCATACATTCCCCCACATATTTTTGCATTAAAAATTTTTTTTATTTATTTTTGTCTGTGCTGGTCTCTTGCTGAGAGCAGGCTTTCTCTAGTTGCAGCAAGTGAGAGCTATTCTTTGTTGTGATGTGCAGGCTCGGTAGTTGTGGTCCACGGGCTTATTTGCTCTGTGGCATGCGGGATATTCCAGGACCAGGGATCGAGCTGGTGTCCCCTGCATTGCAAGGCAGATTCTTAGCAACTGGACCACCTCTGCATATTTTTTAACTGAAAAGGGGGAAAACTAGAAGGCCGATGCTCACCTAGCATTACTGAGGTAGTTTATTCATTTTTCAACGGATCTGGATAAATTCTTAAAAGAAAGTAAATTACTGAGCTAAATCATTTGGATACCAAGGAGAGTCTAAGTTACCTCAGGAAAGGGAGGTTAAGGACAGGCCCCAGACCATGGGCGCAAGGAGGAGGGCCCCCTCAGCTTCCAAAATCAATGCCCCACTCCTTGTTTCAAATTCCCAGGAGAGAAACTAGGTCAGCGCAATTCGCTTTTCCCACCAGATCACCAGATTGCAGGTTTCAGGCCTGTCCTGTCAGGTATCCTCCCCTGGATAATTTAGCTGTGGCCCTGGGGAGTGAGTACCAAATGCCCCCCCTCCCTTCACACGCACAAGGGGAGTGGGGGTGTGAGCCAGCCCCAAACATACATGATGTGCCATGAGACCAAAGGCAGCCACTAAGAACTGTACTCTGGACCCAGAGTGCCTGCTACCAATGTTGCTTCACCCCTTCCTAGCTGTGTGACCTCAAGAAAGTTACCCAATCTCTCTGTTCCGCCATTTTTTTATCCTTAAAATAGGACATATGCACAGTACATCCTCATGGGACTGTGGTAAGGACTAAAGAAAACGAGAACTCCTAGGATTTTAATCTGGCGGACAGAGTGCCCGGCAGGGATGTGTAGTGCAGTGAAGAGCTCTGGGGGTGGAGCCAGCTGCCAGGTGGCGGGCTGCTGGCCCTGGACCTCCTCCATCAGGGAAAGGGTGACTGTTTCCTTTGTAACACGTGCTTGCTCCGGATTTGGATTTGGCTCCCCTGCTGTCGTCATGCTGTTGCCAGCACTCTCTACGGACTTGCTGGACGGCTTATGCTCTCTCATGTTCTCCCCCACGACATGTCTTCTGACCACAGAACTCACTTTACAGAGAAAACACAGGCCATGGGCTTACACCCAGGAAACTCCCTAACCTTATTAGGTATCCCAACACCAGAAGCAGGCAGCTCAGTAGAAGGGAGGGATGGTCTATTGGCAGCCAATCCTACGCCAGTTGGAGAAACACCGTGCAAGGATGCAGCATATGCTCTTCCCAGCGTTGCTGTTTCTTCCTTAGGGATACTCCCAGAATACACTTGGCCAGGGACCCAAGGGGTGGTAGTGGTGATGGTTAAAATTATACCTACCAACTTACCCAAAACCATCTGCCTCCTTTACTCACAGATTCCATGTGGGACATTTTGGTACCTTGAGGGACAATGCTTTCACCCGGAGACAGTCTCCTAAAAGTGACTGACTGGGCCATCCTGTTAGCCAAGTCAATGAACCTTTAGCTAAATTTGATTTCATGTAGAAAAGTAAAGACGGGATTTTCATTATACATATGGAGCTCTTCACACTCACATGGAACCTACGTTTCCAGATCCCAGCATCTTCCATGGGGATCCAGAGTCCTTGCCTCATCACCCTCCATGACCTCCACAGCCGAGTCTTCCTGCTGCCGTGTTCCTCCCTCCCACCTCCCCACTCCAGTCTCATATCTACTGTCTACCAGGCTGCCCGAAGGAGCCTGTCTGCGGCCCTCACATGAGGGGACCAGTGTCTCTGCTGACTGCCCTTTCATACAATACCCCAGGGACCGGGGCGGGGCTGGGGTCCACCTTCGCACTGTCGCCCGGGGTCACTGTAACGCTGCACATCCCCGAGGGTCTCCCAGAGTCTCTCTCAGAAGCAGACACTTCTGTTTTATTGTTTCTTGCCTACAAACAGCAACAAAAATGCTAACAAAAACCCTTTTTCCACAGGAACTCACACCAACTTCATTTCCATAGAGCCAAACCTTTCCACCCACATCCCAAATCCAAACGTCACTTCCTACATGCGCAGACATCAGCAAACCACTGCACCTTTCACTGGCTTCCAGGGAGTGGTGGCATCCCTGCTTCTTCAAGAGTTAACAGGAGCTCCTTTTGGAGTAGGACAGGGTCTAATAAGCTGCCTAAAGCAGAGAGGGTACCAGTCACTCAGGCCTTAAGCTCTGGTGTACAGGAAATGTAAATTTTTATAATTATGTTTCTGTCTCAGACAATCACTACTGACCACCACTCCTCATTCTGCAGGGTGGCAGAAATGAGGTCTTAAATTAATTCAGATCACGACTTCTCAACCATTCAGGTACCCACTCCTTCCTGGGGGTGCATCTCAGTTCTGGGAACTGGGGGGAGGGGTGGGACTTACAGTCTGTGTAGGAGAAACCTGAACTCCCCCTCCTCCCCTCCTCCCCCCGCCCCCCGCCTCTGAGCATCCCCTGTCCTCCCAGGCGGTCCTCACAGCGCTCTCTCCTGGCTACAGGCACACTGCCCCCACCACACAGGGAAATGCTCTGTGGCCCCAGCCACAGGCATGCCCCAGGCATCCTTCGGGACTCTGTCCTTCTCTGCTCCCGAGCCACACTGCATGGGAGTTCTCGAGGCTGCCGGCTCCCAGATACCACGGCTCCCCTCCCAGATCTCCTCCCTTACCTGGGGGTTATCACTGGCGAGTTTGGAGTGTGGAGCTGCCAGTGACTGCCTTTCCTTAAAAGGGAACACTGATGCAGGCGGACTCCTCACCCTGACGCCCAGTTCTGCCTCCCCCACTCCCCACCTGCCCTCTGGGTCTTGGCTGCCGCAGGATAGGAGAGGGCTGAGCCTTGACCTCTGCAATCGTCAGTTCACAGAAGTCCCTTCGCTCACCTTCATTTCTGTGTGACAGTCCACTGCCCAATGTTTTGTCTACCACTGACAAAATCAGGAGGATCAGGGAAGGCATTTGTTCTTCTGGAAACTTTCAGAGATTGTCTCAAAACAAAAAGAAAAACCTCATCCCCTTGGGGATGGGGAACGCTTTGTCCCTCTGGTGCTGGAAACTGGGATAGTCCTTCAAAGCATGACTTGTCCGCAGAGGCTTCATTGTAGGTTAAAGGGGGTCAGTTTGCCTGCAGCCCAGGGCCCTCTACCTGGATGGTCAGAGTTGGGGTCCTTGATGTGGAACCATGAGCTGCAAGAGACAAAACTCATTTCTTTACAGGACAAAGTTCGGCTCATGTAGGAATTCGCAGAAAAGCTTTTTAAGCACTCCTTTTCTACCCCTAAATTTACTTTTGCTGCATAGACTCAGAAACCATAGCTCTTTATTTAAAACACATGCTCACCCAACCCACTAGTACTGCTAAGTCCACAACTTTCTCAGAAGTTCGCCTCATCTCCGCACACCAGTTTTCCCATGTCCTGGGGTGACCTGTCCCAAATTCCATTCCAGGGCTTGTCATCAGACTATAGGACCAATGTATACTTTGACCTTGGGTTATCCCTTCACCTTCTCTGTGACTCAATTTTCTTCTGTAAAATGGGGCAATGCTGTCTCTAACATCACATGGAAAGCCCTTAGGACTGAACTTGGTATATAATAAGCCGTCAATAAACACTATTGAACACTGTTATTACCACTATTGTCAATTCCACAGGAATCCCAAATGCAGTGGGGTAGGTCTCAGGCGACAGTTGACAAATGCAAAAAATGTAACTTTCTTCATTTCCCCGTAGGTTGTGTGCCCATTGCACTGGGTGGCAGAAACTTCCTTCCGACTGATTCAGGGTGATCTCATTCAATTTAATTACTTTTAATTAAAGAAACTTTTAACAATTCAGCAGTCTTTGTTCCCATTCCAGACCTATATTTTCCAGACTCTGGGGCTCCAGAGGTCATCCTGGTGGGATTCCTAAGAAAATTTAAAAAAAAAATTGCCTTCATGACTCTTACTGTCTAATAGTAGATACGATTCAAGATAGGAAGTTCTGAGTGTTCTTAAAAAAGAAAAAAAGGTAATGAGGTCAGAGTTGATTTACAAGTGAGAGGGATAATTTCTATCAGACAGAATCAGGGTAAATTTGTGGAAAAGGTGGCATTGGAATGTTGAGTGTTGGGAGAAGTAGGTACAGAAAAGGAGAATAAGGGAGGGCACCCTCTAAAGAGCATCCATGGGGAGAAAGAAGCTGTTCCCTATGGAAAGTAAAAGTCACTCAGTCGTGTCCAACTCTCTGCAACCCTATGGACTGTAGCCCGCCAGGTTCCTCTGTCCGTGGAAGTCTCCAGGCAAGAATACTGCAGTGGGTTGCTGTTCTCTTCTCCAGGGGATCTTCCCAACCCAGGGATCGAACCCAGGTCTTTCGCATTGCAGACAGATTCTTTACCATCTGAGCCACCAGGGAAGCCCCAAGCTACAGACAGAATCTCCCTCTTTACAGCGGTGTCCACCTTCAGGGCCTTTGCAGGGTGCTGATGATCTGGCCTGGAGAAGGAAATGGTGACCCACTGAAGTGTTCTTGCCTGGAGAATCCCATGGACAGAGGAGTCTGGTGGGCTACAGTCCATGGGGTCCCAAAAGAGTTGGGCACGATTTGGTGACTCAACAACAACAACAATCTGGCATCTGGCCAGTAGCTGGCTGAAGTCACCCTAGATGGTTCTGGGCCAGCTGACTCTTAAGGGAACCCAGCTTCCATGCATGTTTTCTGCCTGGGGAGGGGGTGGCAGAGGCCCCCTCTAAGGGCAGACAGCTTCCCCCAGGAGTTCAGGAGGAATGATACCAGGGAGGGGCTGTGGTGGGTACTTTTCAGATTCCTAGACCATGTGTTTCTCATTGCTAGTAGTTTATTTTTACCCCATGCCCTTTACTGGTCAGAGTCGACTATGAGGCCACCCTTGTACATCTCAGGGAAGCTTTATTACAACAGAGAAGTGGAGGAAATGCTTTTTGGAGGTTCATACATCTGGGCTTTTCAGTATCAAAAGCCTGGCCTTGAAAGAGTCACAGCATCAGTTTTATGCCAAAAAACACCAGATTGGAAATATGAGGTGACTGTGATAGTCAGGGTTTCCAAGCTGCAATGAGATGCACATTCTCTGAGTTGGGGGAGGGGAGAGAGGAGCGCCAGAAAGGAAACAGGGATATTAGAATGGGGGAGGGGGTTAGTAACCATAGAGGTTAACAGTCAAACTGGGACACTGCGGAAAGCGAAAGAGAGCACTGTGAGGAGTGATGCTCAGACGGCAGGCGCCAACCAGGACTATCCTAGGCAAAGGGGCACAGATGGACCTGTGTTCACCCTAGGTAGGGGCCAGCTTCACCACCACCCCGCCCCCCAGCCCAGGACCGAGCGGAGAAACCACAGACATGCTGGGGGATATAGAGAGCCCACCCCCACCCCGAGTTCTTCCTTACTTGGGAGACAGCGCCCAGGCCCCCAGCTGGCGTGAGACAGCAACCTGGCTCCAAGCTACAGCTCACAGAGGTGGGGGGAAGCCGGATGCCATTCCCCACACATCCACCTGTCAAAGAAGCACCAAGTGCTTTCTCTGCCCCGGGAGGTTGGTAGGAGCTGAGGAAGAGCCAAGCCTGGTATCTGGCATCTCAGCTGGGGCAGAGAGATACAGGAGCATCTCTGCAGCGGGGTCCACGGGGGTCCGGTGCCATCTTGGTCCTCCACCACAGGCAGCCCTGCCATGGGAACTGGGACTCCAGACAAAGCCACACAATGACTGGACAGGGATCTCCTCGTCTGATGACACTTTGCCTCTGGTGCCAGGCAGCGGGGAGCTTGACATAGAAGTGAAAGGATTATGAAGACATGAGTGTCCTGTGCATCATGGAGATGGTGAGCTGAGATGCACACCCACCTTACAGTAAGTCAAAGCATCCGAGTCAGAAGTCCAAGGTTTTGCAACTTTTCACTGACAGTTCAGTTCAGTCACTCAATTGTGTCCAACTCTTTGTGACCCCATGGACTGCAGCATGCCAGGCTTCCCTGTCCATCACCAACCCCCAGAGTTTGCTCAAACTCATGTCCATAGAGTCGGTGATGCCATCCAACCATCTCATCCTCTGTTGTCCCCTTCTCCTCCTGCCTTCAATCTTTCCCAGCATCAGGGTCTTTTCCAATGAATCAGTTCTTTGAATCAGGTGGCCAAAGTATTGGAGTTTCAGCTTCAGCATCATTCCTTCCAATGAATATTCAGGGCTGATTGCCTTTAGAATTAACTGGTTTGATATCCTTGCAGTCCAAGGAACTCTCAAGAGTCTTCTCCAACACCACAGTTCAAAAGCATCAATTCTTTGGCATTCACCTTTCTTTAGAGTCCAACTCGCACATCTATATATGACCACTGGAAAAACCATAGCTTTGATTAGATGGACTTTTGTTGGCAAAGTAATGTCTCTACTTTTTAATATGCTGTCTGGGTTGGGCATAGCTTTTCTTCCAAGAAGCAAGTGCCTTTTAATTTCATGGCTGCAGTCACCATCTGCAGTGATTTTGGAAACTAAAAAAATTAAGTCTCTCACTGTTTCTATTGTTTCCCCATCTATTTGCCATGAAGTGATGGGACTGATCTTAATTTTCTGAATGTTGAGTTTTAAGCCAGCTTTTTCACTTTCCTCTTTTACTTTCATCAAGAGGCTCTTTAGTTCTTCTTCAATTTCTGCCATAGGGGTGGTGTCATCTGCGTAAATGAGGCTATTGATATTTCTCCCAGCAATCTTGATTCCAGCTTGTGCTTCTTCCAGCCTGGCATTTCTCTGCATACGTTAAATACGCAGGGTGACAATATACAACCTTGACGTACTCTTTTCGCGGTTTGGAACCAGTCTGTTGTTCCACGTCCAGTTCTGTTGCTTCTTGACCTGCATACAGATTTCTCAGGAAATTATTCCACTGACAGCACCTCATTTTTTAAAGACTTCCTGTGGCTAGTCTTCCAGGGCATAGCCTCATATATGCATGTGTATCTACACGCAGGACCAGAGAGAGGCACTCAGATGGTATATTTATTAATATATTAGAATAAAACCCCCCAATACATGGAAGCTTCAGCCCAGGGTTTGATTTCACAGCTCCTGTCTTAGGAAACTAATGGTCCATGGGTGTATACAGATTTTCAGTACTCTTGTTTCTGAGAGTGGAAATTTGGAAATACCCAGAATGTCAGTCAATAGGGACAGGGTCAAGTAAACAGCTGCATTTGCACACTAGGATATACTTGGGAACAAGTTTTGGGGTTTTTTAAAAGTCCTATCTTTTTATTTTATTTTGTGTGGCACTCAGCCTTTGTCGCTACATACAGGATTTCTCTAGTTGCGAAGGGAGTTACTTTCTAGTCACGGTGCTCGGGCTCCTCATTGCAGTGGATTCGTGTTTCGGAGCACAGACTCTAGGCACATGGGATTCAGTAGTTGTAGTGCATGGGCCTAGCTGCTCGGAGACATGTGGAATCTTCCCTGACCAGGGGTCGAACCCGTGTCCCCTGCATTCTTAACCACTGGACCACCAGGGAAGTCCCCAGGCAACAAGTTTTCAAACATGTGCTATGGTTCATATTGTTCTGAAGCAGAAAAATCCTCATATGTCAACTTTTAAAAGAAAAATGTGGAACAATATACACAGCACTTATGTAAACAACACACATGTACTCAGATGCCCCAAATCTAGACGTGAGAACCTGTGTTTGTCAATATATTCCTACGTGTAAGTAGATGAAAGAAATAAAGATCTGGAAAAACAGTCACCCAATTGAAAACAGTGGTTAGCCAAGGCAAGGACTCCAATAAGGGAAAGAATGAGCAGTAATACTAAAATGAAGACAGGAAAGTGCTAAAGACAAATTTCTCATTGCAATTTTGAAGCAAACATTTGTTTGCAGGGCATAGAGAGCCCTCTTTTGCTTTCCTTGCTCATCATATGACCAGATGCTGGGTTTACTGTAGATGTGAAGTTAAACCCTCCAGGGCAAACTGATATCAGCTAAGACCCTAAATCTGCCAGTGTTGGGAAGGTTCAAGCTCATGAGAAGAAAGATAAAACATCTTCAGTGTTCTACTTGGAAGAGTTGTGGGTGTTGGGGGAGCCAGTTCTACTTGAATCCAACAAGACGGTGGAGTCTTTGTAGTTAATGTCCGGGTTGGGAGAAGAGGAGGTGCCTCCAGTTGTTTGTTTTTTCTTTCATTTTAATACCTGAGAAATATTGTAAACTCAAATCTGAGAGGATAAAAAACTAAGACTATTTGCTGGCCAAATCAAAGTGCTTCAATTTTTATTTAAAATTGTATTCATGCTGTGAGGCATGGTCAAAAAAAAAAAAAGACTTCCCTGGTGGTTCAGTGGTTAAGACTCTGTGCTCCCAATTCAGGGGACACAGGTTTGATCTCTGGTCAAGGAACTAAAATCTCACATGCCACAAGGCATGACAAAAATAAATATAATAAAATTTATCTTTTAAACCTTTAGGTCCCTTTATGTAAGTCATTGCATGTTCATTGGTTTTTGAAAGAAAGAGAAAGGAAAAAAGAAAGAAACCAGACAAAAAGAAAAAAAGTCACATATAATCCAACTACTCAAAAATAATTGCAGTTTTTTTCAGTATGCATTCATTTAGATTTTTTCTATGCATATATAACATTATGTATACCTCTAAAAATAAAATTGGATCATCTCAATCAAAAACTTTGTGACCTACTTTTTAAATTTCCATCTTTAAATAATACATCTTAAAGAGTTTTCAGGATCTTTGTTTCCTTCTATATTAACTTGTCAAAATATAAACAGCTTTTCCCCTAATTACAAAAAGAATAGCCACTAAATGTAAAAGAAATGTGAGCAATATGGAAGCATATAGAGGAAAAAAAAAAAAGGAGAGGAAAAAACCCCAAAAGTATTTGAGTTAGGAAGCCATAACTTTAATTGGCATAAACACCTAAACAGAAAGTTCAGAGATAGGATGAATGCAAAGGTGTCATCAAGATCCCAGAGTGTTTCTGTTTGTCTCTTCTGTCATCTACTGACCTCATCTACAAGTTTGTTCTCCTCACGGTCACAAGACGGCTGCCAGGGCAACCAAGGCTATGTAGTCCCTTCTTTATGTCACCCTACCATGGACTATAAGCTGGTTCTTTCAGTCTAATTGCACCAACCTGTGTCACATGCTTTCTACAACCCCTAACACTGACCAGGGTGATCCTATTCACTGAGGAAACAAAACTAGTGGTACACAGAGGCAGAAAGTGGGGTCAGCTTGTTCTGAATGCATGGCTATGTGGAAGAGCATGGATACCTAAACCAGTAGGAATTCTGTCAGGAAAGAGGGGAGGAGGATGTGTGCTTACATAAACAGTTGGCAGGGTTCACACTTCTCTGGTGATCCAATGTACCTATACTTGTTCCCATCTGTCGATTTCAAACAATATTCACAGCTTCATGAAATGCACTCAGCCTCCCTCCAAAGGAGGGCAATGATAAGACTTCCAGCCACTGCATGTACTGTATAAGTTCCTCATCTCTGTGAGGCATGAAGTCTTTTCCATTCTGTTAATTTGATTGAAT